TAAAATTCATTTCCAACATAGTATCTTGTGAGTATCACTGTTGCATTGGTTTACACTTTTGTCCTTTGCCTCACCATTTTTTTATGCCCCTTCTCTTCCCCAAATCAGATACACATATAAACTAGACACAGGGTACCAAAATCAAAAACAGTGATAATAGAGGATAGACCAAAGGAAAAGAAAGAAAGACGATATAACTTCACACAGTACATTAAAAAACAACCACCAAAAAAAACCCTCTTGTTTTCATATCTTGTATTTCTTTTCTATTAACATCATTTTATATGGTCATATGTACATAGTATTGAGCTATTGTAATGCTCTGCTAGGACTATCTTAAACATATACTGATTCTTACAAATGAGGGGGAAAAACGTGTTTGGGGGGTCTGGCTTACTTCACTTAACATGAATTTTTCCAAGTCTTTCCATTTCCTTATGAATGGGGCAAAGTCATTCTTTCTGATGGAAGCAAGTAATTCCATTTTGTATATATTCCACATTTTCTTGATCCAGATGCTGAGGGGCATCTGGGCTGATTTTATATCTTAGCTATGGTAAATAATGCTGCAATGAACATGGTTGTGCTAGTCACTTTAGTGTGGCCTTGTTTGTGATCATTTGGGTAAATGACCAGGAATTGGATTTCTATAACATAGGGAGTTCTATGTTTAGTCTTTTGAGGAATTACCATACTGCTTTCCAGAGTGGTTGAACCAGTTTAGATTCCCATCAATAGTATAGTAGCGTTCCCTTTTGGCCACATCCCCATCAGCATCTGTTATTATCTGTTTTCTTGATATTGACCATTCTAACTGGTGTGAGGTGGAATATCAATGTAGTTTTGATATGCATTTCTCATGGCCAGAGATGTTGAACATTTCTTCATGTGTCTATTGGCTATTCTTGTTTCTTCTCAAGAGACATCTCTCTTTCATCTTTTAATGATGCACCTCTTTCAACAGTATTCTGAATTATGAAGAGAGGTCTCTGTCAGGCTCCCTTTCCTCAGTTCATACAAATTGACTTGCAGAACATAATGTAGGTCCCTAAAAAGAAAATGCAGGCTATGGCTACAGGAGATTCAGGTCTCAGGTCCATACCAACTTACGAAGAAAAAAACGAGAAAGAAATATTTTAGAGAGAAAATGTCTGCCCTTCAGGAGATTTCCACTTCTTGTCTCACTACAAGCCTTTGTGTCCCATAAAAGCCCTTCTCATCCTGATTTATCCCCTCCCTGAAGTCTCCTCTCCCCTTCTATACACACCAAGATGGAGACTTAAGACATCAAAGATTCCTCCAGCCAGATCACACGTGACCCATGCCTGTAATTCTCACTACTCAGGAGCCTCAATTTGAGGCCAGCCCAGGCAGAAAAGTTCATAAAACACTATCTAAAAAGAAAAAGAAAAGAAAAACAGCATAAACCAAGGCAGGATATGTGGCTCAAGTGGTAGTATGCCAGGCTAGCAAGCAGAAGGCCATGAGTTCAAATCTCAGTACTGGAAAATAAAAGAGAGAAAAAAAAAGTGTTCTTTTCTTAGGGCTAGCTTTAAATAAATCTATTTTGTTCCATTAATTTTTGTCTTCCTAGTTTTCAGCACTGTGGTGAGCATGCTATGAGCCTTAGCTTATAGTAGCACTAGAAGCCTGCTATATTGGAATGCTGAATGAAATGGATATTAACTGAAAATTGAAAATGACAGCAGAGGAGATTGAATAAAGATATCAGTGTGAGCGCACAAATCTGTTTCCACTTTTGCTGCAATCCCTAAGAATGTCCAAAAGTAGCTTTTCTAAAGAATTCTTCATAAGAATACAACCTAGAAGAATGTCAGCAGAGAACCTGAAATCTTGGGAATTTCCTGGCAAGCTAAAGCAAAGGTGATCAGGAAAGAACAATAAACACCAAAAACCAAAGAATGTTCAGGGAATAAGTAATCAGCTTTAGACTAAAGTGACTATTCAATAACACTGAACAAACTCACTCAAGAGAAGGGAGAGGGGCATCTACAGTGGAAACACTGTACTTCTAGAACAGATTGTTCACCCTGCCTATATCTGGGTCATTTGCCCTGAAACTTCCCAGTTGGTCCCATGTCTTACCCCACTCCCTGAGTACAGCCAACCTAGCCCTGTGCCTGTGCTTTAAAAGATAATGTGTGGCAGAAGTGACGATGGGTCCTTTCTGAGCATGTGTGTTAGTTAGAAGCTTTGTGTTGTCTCACGTATTTCCGGTTGCTGCTCTTGAGCTTCTGTGGTTACCATAACTCTCCAAATGGACTATGAGAATGTGAGAAATATGTAATAGGAGAAAGTCACGACCATAGTCCCCTCTGCCCATGGCCAGCCAATTCTCAGGTATGCAAGTGAGCCATTCAGGTTTGTGGCTGTTGTCACAGACATCATTGCAGCCATACATAATTGATAGAGCTCCCCCCCCACACCCCGTGTGTGTAACACTACATCATTGCTGATGAAGAGCAATTGCTAAGCCATGGTGTTCGACTCCTGAGCTAAACCACTGCCTGCTCTCTACAGAACAGGTGCCCAAGGAAATTTCCAAGTGGACACAGATGCCTAAGAAAGAATAGGGCTGGAAAAACTAAAGACCAGACCTTCCATAGTCCAGGGAAAATGGAAAGAAAGGGCATTTTTACTTAGGAGGAAATCAATTTCTTTCACACCAGCAGTGAAGGAAGCCCTCCTCGACACCATTAGAGGAGCGGCCACAGTGCTTGCCTGCTGCATTTTGAAGCAGACAAAAATAAGATGTATGAACTGACACACTCTGATCCATTACATAGAACCTGTCAATAGCCCTTATACTTAGAAGACCCCAGGCAGGCCAGATCTGTGTCATCACAAAAAAAAAAAAACAAACCTGCATGGCTGTCTATATCATCTGCCTCCATTTCGATATTCAAGAAAATCCTTTGACCTGAAGGAGAGATAATAAGATGAGCCAACTAATCTTAGCGGAAACAATGCAGTCAAGGAAGGAAATGTTGTGTTGGGAACATGAGGAATTAGGATCCCTTCAAGAAAAACTTTGTTGGGAGTAACAACAGCTGCATCCAAAATCCTGGTCCCTCCGGCTCATCTCTTCTCTCAATTCTGTTACCGGGGACCTATAGCCTCAACTACATGTTAAGTTAATATATGCCTCCTTCCTAGCTTTTCTACCTTCTTTTCTTTAAGTTGTAGCACAGTTATAGGCAAAAAACAAAAATTGAGAAGTTCTCTTTTCTCAGTTTTAGCTAACACTGAAAATAAATTTGTTTTGGCATATATACAAAATTCTTTTTTTAAATGTGATAACTGGTAAGGATAAATAAGGAGGAAGAATGATGGAAGGAGTGAAATTCATCAAGGTGTGTTTTACTTATAGACTGACATGTTGAGCTAAAACCCCTTTATAGAACTGAAGATGAAGCAAAATAAGAATCTTTTGCAACAATGAGATATACAAGATGTTATGTCGAAAAATGAACTTTACAACTTTGGTATGGGGGTGGGGGGGAGATGGGAAGGGATGGGAAGGGGAAACAAAGAAGGAGGCAACAATGCTTGATAAGAAATGTACTAGGAGCCTGTGCCTCCTAGCTACTCAGGAGGCTGAGATCTGAGGATCTCGGTTCAAAGCCAGTCCGGGCAGGAAAGTCCGTGAGACTCTTATCTTCAATAAAACTAGAAAACCGGAAGTGGCGCTGTGGCTCAAGCGGTAGAGCGCTGGCCTTGAGCTGAAGAGCTCAGGGATAGCGCCCAAGCCCAGAGTTCAAGCCCCACAACCAACCAAAAAAAAGAAAGAAATGTACTCATTACCTTACTCATGTAATTGCAACCCCTCTATACGGTATTTTCACAATAAAAAAGGAAAAAAGAACAATAGCAATAATAATAAATAAATAACATGAGAACTCCTCAGAACAAACCATTTTTACATTGCATCCATTACAGAAAACAATACTCAAATTATTCAGAGCATAGCAAAGAAATAAGAAGAAAGAATCCTTTAAAGTTACATTTCTCCTATTTCAAAAACTACTTAGTATTATTATACATAATAGAAAAGATAAGTTCAGATATAAAAGAAAACATTAAGAAGACTAAATTAAGAAAAAAAGCTAACACAGAGGGGGAAAAAGATACAAATTCAGATAAAAGAAAAGAGATATAGGAAGTCTGACATATGTTGACTGGAAGCTCTAGAAGGAAAGGGGAAAGAGATGAGTAAAACAATGAAACACAAACAGAAACCTTCCCCAGGTGAAAAGAAAGAGGCTTCAGATTGCAAAATCTCCGGTAAGGAATGAACATACAGGCCTACACACTTGCGCACTCACATATGTCACATGAGTTTGAGGAGGGAGGGGGGGGAAGCAAACAAGAAGTAACAGTTGTAATAACTGTAACTCCAACACACCACCAGCAAAACCTCTGAAATCTTCAGACTAAGCTCAGCAAGTCTCGATAAAAGATGTAAACACACAAACAAATCTAGCTAGAACAAACTCCAAAGGATAACAACATAGAAGATGGTTATGGTATTTTAAAGATTTTTTTAAAAATAATTTTTAATTAAAGCACTAAAATTATGTTTGCTTTCTATTTTCTTGGGTAGGAAATAGCTGGCAAAAAAGTCATGTTTATTTTATTTCTATTGATTTTAGGATTGTTTACATGAATGAAAAACCATTACGTCAGATATTTCATTATCGTTAAATAGTTGTACAAAGGAGTTGCCATTCAACATATGCATACAGTGCATCTTGCTCAGTTTTACTTGTAACTTTTTTTTTTTTTTTTTTTGGTTGGTGGTGGGGCTTGAACTCTGGGCCTGGGCGCTGTCCCTCAGCTCTTCAGCTCAAGGCGAGCGCTCTACCACTTGAGCTACGGCGCCACTTCCTCTTGCTCAGTTTTAATAGTACTCATTTTTCTTTCCTTCCTTTTTTTGGTTCCTCTACTGCCCCATTCAACTTACCCATTTTTCATTTTAGTCCAGGAGATATGATTACTCTTCTAGAGGATTCCAATGAAGACTGGTGGAAAGTAAGTATTACTTACCATGCCCTGATAGGCACAATACACATGCCTGTGGGGCCAGCCCAGGAAAAAAGGTAGCAAGAACTGGGCACCGGCGGCTCACGCCTGTAATCCTAGCTACTCAGGAGACTGAGATCTGAGGATCACGGTTCAAAGCCAGCCCAGGCAGGAAAGTCTGTGAGACTCTTATTCCAATAAACCACTAGAAAACCAGAAGTGCCGCTATGACTCCAGCGGTAGAGCACTCTCCTTGAACTGAAAAGTGCAGGGACAGTGCCCAAGCCCAGAGTTCAAGCTCCATGGCCGACCCTATCTCAATAAACAATGTGTGTTGAGGCATACTTGCTATCATATCTTCACAGGAGGTGTAGGTAGGAAGATCATGGTACCAGTCTGGTCCCAGGCCAAAAAAAAAAATCCTGAAATTCTACCCAAAAAGAAACTAAAGCAATAAAAGAGTTGGGTGTTGGAGTGAGTGGTTCAAGTGGCAATCAGTCAATCATGAGTGCTAGCAATCACAAGGCCATAAGTTCAAATCTGAGTGGGGAGAGAGACAAAAAGGAAGGAAGGAAGGAAGGGAGGGAAAGAGAGAAAGAAAGAGAGAGGAAGGAAGGAAGGAAGGAAGGAAGGAAGGAAGGAAGGAAGGAAGGAAGGAAGGAAAAGAAAGAAAGAAAGAAAGAAGAAAGGGGGAAAGAGGAAGTTACAATAAATATTACAGTTGCCTATAAATGCCTCCTGTTTTCTTTCAGGGAAAAATTCAAGACAGGATTGGCTTCTTTCCAGCCAACTTTGTCCAGAGAGTACAACAAAATGAGAAGATTTTCAGGTGTGTTAGAACCTTCATCGGGTGCAAGGAGCAGGGACAGATAACACTGAAAGAGAACCAAGTGAGTACCACACACAAACGCATACCAGGTGTCATGAAAGCCAGTCCCATACATAAGTCAGGAGGAGTGAGATGATGAAGTATTTGCTTCGCGTGGGAAAAGACATCCTTAGGCCAATAGTATTTGAACAAATAAGATCTCCTAACTCCAAAGGTTAGGAAAGTCGCTGTGTGGTGTATGCTCACAAGAGGACACATAGATAACACAGGAATAGGGTGAGGGAATCTCATCCTTTGCTTGACCTGCAGACCTGCCAGTCATGGATATAAGTAAGCAGCCTCCTCAGTTTAAACTCTGTGCTTGTGTCCACCAGTGTCTTTGAGGACAGTTTGTTATCTGCTGCTGTGCTCCAGGGCTCCTCACATTTGCTTCTAATCACAGGGACCCTTTTTGGTCTTCTTTTCCACTGTTCAACAGACTGCATAAAACTCAGTATAAACAACATAGATAACTAAAGACTAGCTCAGTCCCACAGGCGAAACCACTCCCATCATCTAATCTATAGGTGCTATGCACCGTCTCACCCCAGGGCTACACTGAAGGGAGTATGCTTTTTTTTTTTTTTAAATTTTATTTTATTTTATTTGAGAACATACTGTACAGAGGGGTTACAATTACATGGGCAGGATAATGCATACATTTCTTACCAAGCATTGCAGCCTCCTCCTTTGTTTACCCTTCACATCCCTTCCCAGCCTCCCCCCTCCCCCCCACCCAATCATACCCCTACACACACACCGACATTGTAAAGCTGGTTTTGACATGACATTTTGTACTTCTCATTGTTGCAACAGGTCCACCTGAATCCTTAAACGACTTGTTTGTCCCCATCTCCTCCACATGTTATACTGACATCAAATATAGTGAAAGCGGGGGTTACACTGTGGGGGAGGGACATACAAAGCAACAAAGAAGTAATCTTATAAATGCGTTAGAAACACATGCATGAAAGAAACAAAAACATTGAAATACATATTAAAGGGTTCATTTTCCTAACATCACATTATCTGACCTTTTCCGCTTGACTCATACCTATACTAGATATTGCAAATAAGGGAAACCATGGGACCTATGTTTCTTTGGGCCTGGCTTACTTCACTTAATATAATTTTTTCCAAGCCTTTCCATTTCCTAACAAATGGGGAAATGTCATTCTTTCTGATGGAGGCATAGAATTCCATTGTGTATGTATACCACATTTTCTTGATCCATTCATCTACTGAGGGGCATCTGGGTTGGTTCCATATCTTAGCTATGGTAAATAATGCTGCAATAAACATAGTTGTGCTGGTAGCTTTAGTGTGGTCTTTTTTGTAAACATTAGGGAAAATGCCCAAAAGTGGGATTGCTGGGTCATAGGGGAGTTCTATGTGAAGTTTTTTGAGGAACCTCCATACTGCTTTCCAAAGTGGTTGAACAAGTTTACATTCCCACCAACAATGAAGTAAGGTTCCTTTCTGTCCACATCCCCTCCAGCATCTGTTGTTGTTAGAGTTCTTGATTTTTGCTGTTCTAACTGGAGTGAGGTGATATCTCAATGTTGTTTTGATTTGCATTTCTTTTATGGCTAGGGATGTTGAACATTTCTTCATGTGTCTATTGGCCATCCTTCTTTTTTCTTCAGAGAAGCTTCTCTTTAAGTCTTTCGCCCACTTACTTATTGGGCAGTTGTTTCTTTGAGGATTTGTTGTTGGGTGGTTTAATTTTAAAAGCTGTCCATTTTTCCTGAATGCCCTGCTTGCCCTCCTTGCTTCTGGATTCTTGACTTCATCCTTGGAATGATGATGCAAAGAAAGAAAACTACATCTTAACTCTGTCCATTCTCCCTTCTTCCAACGGAAAGAGACGTCCTTTCCCTCTTGCTTATCTGAAACTCCTCTCCTCTCATTTTTCTGTCCTCACTCTATTCTCTGACTTTCAAGTCTGATCTTGATGCATTAGGAGAGGATTTGGGGAGTTAGAAATTTCTCTTCACTCCCAATAACAAACATCTCACAGTGGATTTCGATTTCCAATTTAGGAAAACAAAAACTTGCCCCTCTCTTCCTGCTTTCTTGGTATAATAATTCTAATATCACTCAAGGCAATGAAGACCTCTAGTTGAAAATGATAAGGCTAACTCTGCCAGGAAGTACAATATGAAAAAAAATCCATTAATAATTGTAGTACATATTTGTTCAATAGAGTTGCCCAAAGCAGATCTTGAATGTCTTTTTTTAGAATTCCCTTCAAAACAGTTTCTGAGTCACATATTTTTTTAAAAATCTCCCATTACTTTATATCTGATTTATAATCCTTTAAAGAAAAATATAGAAACAGTAGATTTTTTAAAGCTAAATTCTCTCCTTATAGTTAAGGAAATAAAAATATTAAAAAAATAAGATACCATAATTCTGAGTATCTTTTTCCTTGTCTGTATACTTTTACAAAAATGGTGCGTGGAGTCAATGACTTGGGCTTTTCATAAATTCTAAGAGATCTAAGTCCATTCATTTTGGGTAGTATTTGGTACCATATACCAAAAACATGGAAACCGATCAACCTCATGAAGGCAGTAATTCTAGATTTTATAATGCACTCATGAAAATAATCAAATGCAAGAGGAAAGAGATGACAGACATCATAGTGGTGTTCATAATGGTGGGAATTAGGAATCATGTCACATCACGATTATGTCAACAATAAGGCTTTACCACCGAAATAATGTTAGAAAGGTGATGCTAGTATTATGGACAAAATACTGGAAGCAGACCCAGGTCCCAGTCACTGCTCTCCTAAGTAAACATAAAGGGAGAAAGGCAGATGCAGAGGGGCCTGAAGCCCTACTTTTATTCTTGGAACCATGGCAAAACCGATTGAGTAGGAGATGTGGCCCCCTTCCTACAGCTCCCTCCCACTTCCACTCACCATCACCACAGGGTGCATTGAGTCAGTCTCAGGTTCCAGTAGCCCTAGAGAAGATAAGAGTCATAAAATAGGGCAACAAAACTGGCATCAGGGACCAGATGGTCTGGTCACTGCCATGACGAAGATTGAAAGAAGCGTTCACAAACAGTGGCAAACCCTGGACCATGTGTCTGAATCATACCTCCTGCTTCTTGCTTTTGGAGAAATAAGAAGAGAACTAGAAAGAACTTCTTTCTTTTTTTCTTTCTATCTGTCTTTAGGTCTTTGTATCTGTCTGTAGTTCTTTCTTTCTTTCTTCTTTTCTTTCTTTTCAGTACTTGGAATTGAGAGCCTCATTCTTGCTAACCAAGTACTCTACCATTTGAGCCACACTTCCAGCTCTGATGTTTACATTTTACTTTTGAGATAGTATCTCACCAGTTTTTCCTGGGCCAGCTTTGAACTTGGATTCTTCCTGCCTTCACTTCTGCGGTATCTGTGATTATAGCTGTGTGCTAGTGTACCTAGCTTCTCACCACCTTAAAAGATACTTGTAAAAAGAATGAAGGATCTTAAATGGAAATGATACAGTGGGTGTGAAAAATAATATGACTATGATATAAATATATTAAATATAATAAATATATAAATATAAGGACTTTTGACTTCCACTTGTTATTTTCATGCTATGAATTTTGAACACTTAAATTTAAAAGGAAAACAATAATAGTCTTATCTTGCTGAGGTTCCCTCAGCCTGCCCCAATATATGCAAGTTCATATATATGTGATACATAAGACTACACCACATGTGTCTAATGGTAGTGGCTGCTATCTACATAAATACCAAAACTAGAGTGATTTGCCAGCTAAGCTTATTGACTCTGTGTGTGTGTGTGTGTGTGTGTGTGTGTGTGTGTGTGTGTGTGTGTGTGTGTACCAGTAATGCAACTTGAACTAAGGAACTTGCTTGACTTTTACACCCAAGGTTGGTGCACTTACAATGTAAGCCTCCACTTCCAGTGTTTTGCAAGTAAATTGCCATTCACATTTGCCTGTCTGGTCTGACTTCAAACTTTAATCCTCAGATCCATGGGTTTACAGACATGAGTCACTGGCACCCTGCTAGCTTATTGATTGTTAAGATGTCTAATATTAAGAAATTGGGGACTTGAACTCTAATTTTTAACCAGATTTTTGGAGTTTCTTTTATAATTGGCATTCTCGTTTCTTACCTGATATGCCCAGTTTAGGACACACTGCATTTTGTAAATTTTACAATCTCTTTTTTTGCCTAGTCACTTTGGACATAACATATGTTTAAAGCGAACCACCAGGCACCAGTGGCTCATGCCTGTAATACTGTCTACTCAGGAGGCTGAGATCTGAGGATGGCAATTCAAAGCCAGCCTAGGCAGGAAAGTGTGTGTGAGATACTTGTCTCCAATCAACCACCAGAAAACCCAAAGTGGAACTGTGACTCAAGTGGTAGCGCTATGGCTTTGAGAAAAAAGAGCTCAGGGACAATGCCCAGGCCCTGAGTTCAAGCCCCACAACCAACAACAGAGACAGAGACAGAAAGAGAGACCGAGACAGAGACAGACAGACAGACAGACAGAGATCAAAGCCGTGGTTGTTTTGCCATGATTTTCCACCTGAAGTCATTTCTTTTCCCTGAAGCTGGTGTCTGTCCTGTCATGTCACTTGGCCAAAACCTCCACAGAGTAAGAGCAAGACACCCTCGTCCACCCACAAGGTGCTTTGCAAGTAAATTGGAGATACAGTTTGTGGCACATGACAAATAATCTTTAATAACAGCCCACCTAGGGAATCCCACAATCCCTTCTTCTATAAAGCTCACAGGTCTACATTTTCAAGGTCACACATATCCTGTGAAGTTTGTAAATGATTATTCATTATTTCTATTTTTCTTTCCTTTTCGTTTTGCTGGTGGTGGTACTGGCGTTTGAACACGGAGCCTTGTGCTTGCTAGGCAGGTGTTCAATTATTTGAGTCCCCAGATGTTATTTCTCTCTAGAAAGAGGGAACAAACATAAGGGCAAATGTTTGCAGACCAGGAGACCTCTCAAAAGCAAATGATTGCTTACCTGGGCT